AAGAAGAAGATGACGACGACGACGACGACGACGAAGAAGAAGAAGAAGAAGAAGAAGAGAAGAAGAAGAAGAGCGTATCTCCGGGGAGCAAGATGGAAGAAGAAGAATCGGCAATCTCTCGATTGTCGGGGAGTGTCTCAGCGTTCGCCAACTTTTGAATGGTGATAACGACGACGGGCTTACAACGATGTCGCGTCGCGAGAGATACGGCAGACAGGAAGGCGGGTGTGGGAACGAGCGGGACCACCAGGAGGCAATCCGTAATCCCACATGCGTGGGCAGACGAATCGTGACGGGCATGCCGATTAATGGCGGCCAATAAGACCCCGTTTTCGCGGCTCTCCGAGCCCGAGACCGAGGGGTTACTCGAGCCCGTCGCGGTCCCGATCGAAAACATCGTTAATAAGGGGAGGCACCCCGCGGCGCGAAGGAGTTTTCGGCGTCGTCCACGCTCGGACACTCGGCCGCGAAACTCCGTTAATCCGCGCCCTTCGCGCTGATCGATCGCGGCCCGGCTTCTTCGCGTCGGGATATTCACTCGTACGCGCGTTTTTCGACCGAGACCGAAGATCGCGCGCGCATATCGGGATCACCGGGTAATCACCGTACCAGGCCGGTGGGGCTGATTCATGCGCGAATAGATCGCACGGGCCCCCTCGCGCAAATAGAAAACGTCAACGACGTAATTCGCGGGATTCACGAACTGCGAATGTGACGTGGATTCGGACTCGGCCGGTGTTCCGAGGCATATGCGATATGTTTGATCGTTTTATCCAGCTTTCGGGAACGAGGAGGGCCTCGATAAAACTCCAGTACTTCTCATAATTTATCCGCTTCGGGTGAAACGAGCCCCTCCGATTACGCAATGGGAGAGACCAAGGTTCTTTCGAGTCGCGATTAAGCATCGCTGTTAAAATTGCGTCCCGAGAAAGAGGGAAGAAGAAGAAGAGAGTTAGAGAAAAAGAGAGAATATAGTTTGAAATAACACGGGCGGATACGCATTGATGACGTAGATTTTTTAAATATACGTGCACTGTAAGAAGTGATGTGTCAAATTTAACATATTTCATGTGTCTCAAATCATCCACTCTCATTTATGTGTTAATTTAACATACAGCAAATATGTTAAAGAATAACGGACATAATATGTAAAGAATTAACACAAAAATTTAACATTTGAATGCCGTCAAGAATCACAGTTTGTGTTAAATTGACATACAATGAATGTTACTTCAACACTTGGGAAAAGTAATGATCTATGATTTAATGAAATGAAAATGTTAGGTTGACATAATCTATGTATTAAAAATCCAATCTTCACGTACCCAGAATGTTAACATTATACATTTAACACATGATAACTGTTATAATGAGGAAAGTAACACATTTTAGGTGTCGACTTCAACATATAAAATATGTCGTAGCAAGAATTCATGCATTTACATATAAATTGTGTTATTTCAATACTTGGAAATGTCATTTTAACACTTGAAAATAGTTAATCTTAATTTAACTTAATTTAAAATTTAAGAAAGTCTAAGTAACTCAACAACGACATGTTAAATTAACACACGACTGTGTAAAAATTTAACACAAAACTTTCTACACACAAATAATTTTAACAAAATTGTTTTAACAAAAGTACGAAATGTTTTTGACTGTGTACAAAATCAACTACGCACGTCGAGAATGATAAAATACTAAAAACGAAACGACAAATTGAAGAACGACGATCGTAAAGTCTCAAGTGTTATAATTAACTTTATAATAATACGGCAATCTGACAATCATCTTCCCTATCCTACGGTTACGACATTTACTCGCATCACCGTCATCACCTCCCAATCTATTTTTCTCTATATGACATTACTAGTTCAAAAGTAATCAAAGTTCCAGCCACGTGGGACGGGACGTTTACCGGCGCGCCAAACTCTTTCGGGCGCTCTTCGGACTCGTCCGAGGGAAAGGACACGCTCACAGCATCCTAGGACAACCCCCCGCTCCGCCGTCGCTGTTAGTCCTTAATTCGACGCGGATTGAGAAGCACTGCGTGCGATAAGAGAGTCGCGCGTTTTACGGCAGAGTCCTGTTAAGCCTTCTGTGTATACCCCCCCCTCCCCGGAGCCTACCAACGATTCTTTCATTTTATCCATCCCAGCCGCGTTCTCGCCGCGCTTATCGCCTTCGTTGATTTATAATGTCAGTCGAGCGATTTCGCGGCACGTTCCGCTTTACATTTGTTCGCGCGAATGCGTAACAGCAGGCTCGGTAACCCCGAGCCGATAAAAAGTGATCGCAGATAAACCGGCATTACGGCGCCTTCTGCTGCTGGGGGAGGCTGCGCGGAGGAAGGAGCGGCAAGGTCAGGGACTACCTGAGAGCTGCAGCAAGGGGATGCGAGCTCGGGGCCGATGTTCGGGCCGACCGGAAAGGGTCTTCCACGAGAGTCGCGAACAACGTCATCGCGTGGGCGTAAAAATTCGACGTTCTTATAACGTCT